AGTACCTTTACGGCTAATACTTAACACATTAAAAACAGGGATATGTTTAAACTCCAACAGCCAAGAAACACATTTACAATTCAGAAAATAGAGAGTTATATTATCACACAATTGTATCAACGCCTATTTATTTTGATCTCAGGATATTTCTAGAATGAGGACTCCCACCTAAACAACCGTATAAAATAAATGGCCATCAATATTTTCTAAACTATGAAACTATGCCAACAAATTTGCCATTTATAAAATCTGCGAAAAAGCTAGTGTCGTAACTATAAATGATATTCGCAATCTATAATATCTGGAAATATAGATTATCACTTACATTGCAACGATGAATGAAAACCGTTATAACGCACACCACATGCGAAAATCATTTCGCCAAGGCGAATCTACTTTAAGCAACGTTCTATAACACAAACAAATCATTTACTACATCTTAAATGTCTTATACAACATCAATTTTATTTCTTCAACTTTATCATTTAAATCAAATAAATGTATATTTATAAATGACATTGTAAAAGATATAAAATACTTTCAAACAATTTTATACTAGATCGTTCTCATTTTATGATTCATAAAAAAAAAACATAATCATCAATTAATTTTGGATTATTATTAAGAATACTAAAAATTCTTGGAATTAATGTGTAAACATTAAACAGTGTGGTTCAGAGATTAAATTAAATTTGATTAACGTTTCGGCGAAGTTGTATTTATCAAAATTTAACAAACAATGGGATCGTTGTTGGTGAACATAAATCAGAAATAAAGCTCGACGAAATTACGTACTTTTGGTTGATCGACGATGCGTTCCCATTCTTTGAAATCGAAAGTATAAACAAACTTCTTTTAAAATGTACATAAAATAAATATACAGAAAAAAATCTCTTTGATGATTATTATTCTCGATCGTCGTTTTGTTTCCAAAAACGTCTCAGTTTAAATATAGACTCAATCTTAAACATATAAACGTGGTGATGAGTGATGGTTACTTTGAGTGGTGGTCCAAAATTTTTTTTGTTAATTTTAATTAAGGTTGAAAATATAAAGCGTCTTTTTTATTTTAAAATATTTGTATGAGATGTTGTCCCTTTTTCGAAACTACTTTTAACATTAAATTGTTTTTATTTTCTTTTAATCTCTTGCTATAAAACCATCATCGATAATCAAGAGTTTACGAGGAAAGACATTTTAATGCAGCTTTACCCGTCAATCGTAAGATAAATCGATGAGCGGATGTTCATTGACTTCGGTCTATTTATTCTTTGATAATAGATCTATTCGTTATCTATTCAACATGTAACCACCAGCGCGTAACCATTCGGTTAAAACGAGATAGAGATACGTTACGAAACGTTTCTTGGATTGTATTCCCAGTTGGTCGGTTACTAACGATTTAAATATAAACATTGTTTCTCATCGGTTCCTAAACTATTCCTGGAAATGTCGTCGATTCCGCGACATTTGCTCCAACTTAATTACATTCCCATCCGCACTTTATCGTTGTGTCTCAACAGCTTTACGTAATAATAGAGATATTGTGTTAATAATGTAACCGCAAAAAATTTAATTAAAACTTTTGGTGATTTTATTGCGGTCGATAACAACTTTATTTGTTTGATAACTGTAATTTAAAAATATTCGCCTTTTCAAATTTCATCATTATTTTAAGTAAGAATAAAAAAGATGAAATGAAAATTCTTTCGAAGTAGGTGTATCTCTGGTTTTATTATCGATTAAGTGAGTCGAGCGATAATTGAGCATTCTGGCTTAGCTAAGATCACATTAACGTTGCCTCGAGCGAACGTCGTTTATAATAAATCATCTTATGTTAATGCTAGGATCTTAAAGTGTTTCAGAATCATTTTTATTACATCTAATTTTCTTGATTTAATTCTAGGTTTCTACTAATAAATTCGTGTGCATGGAGATGATTCTCAAGAATACATACTATTTGTTGACTGTTGCAACGTTTAATCATACCCTAGGGATCAATGAAGAATTTGTAGCTCATTCTTAGATAGCAGATAATATACCTCAGGATAAATTCAACTCAGCTCAAAAAAACTTTGCTATCAGATAGTTAAGGTGTACAATGACTTATTAGCGCTTTCCCGTAATCAAAGATCAATAACCTCACTTAAAGTTTGTAACAAAATAAACAGTTATAAGTTTGGTTTTGTCTGTGAGTCAGAATATGAATAACTCTTCCTATGTGGTACTAATGCAGTGGTTATGACAGATAATTGTTGAGCAATATGTTTTTCCGTTAGCTTATAAAGGTGTCACAATAAGAGTACCCGATTTCAATTTTAGACAGTTCTTTCTGTACACGTGGCGGCTCTAAAATTTGACAGCTATCATCTGCTAATATTCCGATTATTAATTATAGATCGCTACACAAAGGTACATTCATCCGTACAATACTTAGCTAATTCTGGGTTAGCTGAACCAACAGACCACACACAGCGCTGTCAATTTGTTGAATGGATGCTGAAGCAAAATGAGGTGAATGCCGATTTTTCGTAAAATCATCTTCACCAAATTTAAGGGGTTCGAAGATCTACATTTGATTTAACATAAGCAAATGACGCTGTAACTATAAACAAGCTACTGCAATATGATCACGGAGTTCTTTTGGCTTCGTCTGGACAGTATAGATCTAGACGATATGTTTTTTCAATAGGACAATGCACTATGGAGTTTCTCAAGCTCAACGACAAGATTCAATGTGTCATTGGTGACTCTGCAGAAACTCATCTACACTTTCATGAAAAGAGTCTTCAACATCAACATTTTGGAAAGAATTTTGAAAGTTCAGTACTCTGTTGGTTCGAAAATGATGAAAAGCTACATTTGCAGAGTGTTAGTGGTCGGTTTGTCGTCAAACTCCACTAAAAAACTTGAAAAGAAGAAAAGTTCAAAGAAAAATTGCATATTTAGACATTACATAATATGTTACTACATAAATGAGATGTTATTGCAGGATACGATTGCTTTTTACGGCAGTACAGGATCGATTGTTGTGAAGTATGCATGCAAAGAAAAAATAGCACAAAAGGATGAACTCCCCAGAAGAAGAAAGAAATGTTCTTATGCTTCTATACAGCCGATATAACAAGTATAAATTAGTAGTTTTTGATTAAAAGCTTACCAGACACAAATTTAACAAAATGCAAACTTTGTTATCAAGACATGAGACCAAATGATGAACAGGGAATTTTACATTATGGTGTGAATTTTCATGACAGTTTACCATTGCAGTTATCAGTCAAAAAAGCATATTTTCTGTCTTTCTGCTACCGCTTAAGACATCAAAGATGGACCAATCAATCCACATCATTATGAATCCTCATGGTGTTCTTGTCTTCAGGAAAAAATAATTTATTGACTAATTGTAGCGTCACAAATCCCTTGGCTAAACTCAATGCAGCTCGGATAGTTTATGTGAACCTAAGATATTTTCTTGAAGAGATGTGAAGCAGGTTTCACTGCTTCAATTGCACCAATTTTAGACCGTCGAGTTCTTTTCTTTGCTAATCATTAATATTAGACAAATCGGAAAGACGGAAGTACATAAAAAAACTAAAAACATTTTCGCGATAGCTGATTATAATTGCCTTTAGTGAATAATCACCCCTAAAACCTACATCTTTCTTTTCTCGAGAAAGGATTTTATTAGTTTGCAAAACGCGTAAAAATATATTAATTAGAGTGTAACGTAGGATTCTTTGATATCATTCCAATTTCAAAATCTACCACAACAACTAATTCGTTGTATCAGGTTTCAAGTTTACTGACCGCGCTCTATCAGAAAAGGCCATCATTTTTGCAGTAGTTCGGAAGAATAATATTTGGATGTATATAGGAAAATAATTTCATAACATACTTTGATCTTTAACCATCGTAGTCCGGCATCAGAGTCTGCTGCTAATACCGGGAACATACGATTAAAACGTAAGAATAAAGCACAAATTGACCACCAAGCAGTTAATTTTTCTTAAAAATGTTGCAATTTTCTTTTAAATTAACTGAAGGTTTCAGACTTATAAGCACTTTCATTGTCTAATAGCTGAATTTAACGAGAATATAGTAAAAGTGACCTTAATAAAAATAGAAAAGAATGATTAATGATTACCATCTTAATCATAATGCTTAAATTTTAGTTTAAAAGGATAAGCGAATATCGAACATGATTCTATTAAAATTCAAACACATATTTTCTCGTGATAGATACACTTATTTGACTTTCAATGAGTCGGTTTACATAATATAATACAGCGGCAAAAGAAATAAATAAACGGTATTACTCGTACTAACTCCCATAATATATGAAGGTAAAATACTTATGGTGAATTTGCTATTCAAGACTCAAGATTGCAAACGTATTGAATGACAAACAAAACGGTTTCTTTTGTAGCCGCATTCCCTCTTTAAAGCATTCTTTGTTGCATAATACCCAGCAGAGACCGAACCGACCAAGCATCTGTCCCATTCATCAAGAAGGTCGACTTATACTCCATACTATAAAGAGTAGGTATGAATTGACCGTGCTAGAAATATAAGTTCTAGGAAATTGACTTTGCTTGGTTTTTTCGTCTTTACAAGATACATCTGCAATTTTGTTATTTAAGAAGAGAAGAGGTCCTATGACCATTCGCTACTGGAATTTTCTACCGCAAATCGTACTCGGCTTCTAAATTTATAAAACTATATTTGGAAACGGGTCTTGTATAAATCTAGTTACCATCGGAATTGTAACCTACTCGACGCGTAACGCTATAATCGGAAAAATCGTAAAAAAGACCGTCATAAATCCAATGGTATATGAACCCGCATCGTCCGTCTGGTCCTTGTACGTAAACAAAAAAATCTCTGCTGCCCGTTTTGAAAATAAGACCAATAAGTTTCAAATCCGGCGCGTTTACAAAGAAAATTAAACATTTTTGAATATCGAATGATTAGTAAGGTAGAATAAAACGTGTTCTACTTACAATTTCATTTAGAAGTAGTGAGTTTTCAAAAGTCGTTCGGGAGCAGAACGGCACGAACGAACATCACAGACACCGCAACCAAGTTCAATGTATTCTTCGCAGCCGTCTGCGCGGTGTTAAGCCCCGCCTACTAGATACATTAAAAACTGATGAAACTGCGACATCTAGTAGTAAAGTTCCGAACTTTATAAAGGTTGAAAAAGTCCATACTGTATAAGCAGAAACAGGATTCTCTATTGATCTTGCGATCAAAACCCCATAGTGTTAACTTATGCTCCTTGTTTATAGATATAATACATTTGATAAGATTTTTATCAAATAGTAAGTAAGGTTATATACATCATATTTGATTTATCAATCTAAAATGAGTTCTACTCATAGATATTAAAATACATTAAAATCAGTGTTGTTAAATACCCGGGTGTTTATCTTGAAGGTTAAATTTCCTGGATATATACCCGGGGGTATTTACCCAAGATGGGTATTTAGAGGTATTTATAAAATTTAATTTAAATTGAGTTGATGGCAGTTTTGCAAGCCCTTCAAAAATGCAGAGTCGATTATCGATATACCAAACTTATTTATAATGTTTACAAAAATGCTACAATGACTGTAAACTTGCATGAAAGTTCTGAAGAGAGTAGAAGTAGTAAAGTACTGATTGTGAGTAAAACAAGGCGATACATTGTTGAACCCAAATTGTTCATCACAGTCCTGGAGAGTGACTGGATTGGACCCAAAAAGGCATAAACATTGATGGCAAATGCTTTAGTAATTTGCGCTACGCGGACGATATAGTTCTTATTTCGGATTGAAGAGATTAAATTAATGGCGAACGACTTAATGAGGTGTGGGTAAGAGTCGGGCTAAATATCAACGATGAGAAATCAAAATTTATGACATCTTGTTCCCAGCTCTAACATTGGGGATGATGAGATTGAGAGGGTTAACAGCTGTATATCTTGGCTATGAGGTTCGTGTATCGAGAGGTAATCAAACAAGCGAACTAAACAGAAGGATCACTCTCGTATGGGCAGCCTACGGGAAACTTAGAGACATCTTCAAGAGAAAAAGCCAAGAAAGGCTTTCAATCAATGCGTGTTTCTTGTTATGACATAGGGCTCCGAAACTTTAACATTAACGGTTGCCACAGCCAGGAGGGTCCAAGTAACGCAAAGATAGATGGAGAGGTCGATCCTGTATGTAACTCGAATGTAACCTCGAGGGACTATATACGAAATGAAGACCTATGAAGAAGAACTGGACCGTAAATGATGTGGTCAACATTGCGACAAAGCTTAAGTGGAACTGGACGGGTCATGTCGCGCGAAGGAAGAATGAGCAGTGGACAAAACGGTTGCTTGAGTGGAGACAGCGAACAGACGAAGTAGACGTCAAAAGAATGACCAACAATTGGATTCAGACAGTACAGAATAGAATCGAATGGAACAAAATAGGGGAGGTCTATGTCCAATAACGGACGCAGAGGGCTGCTTGATGATAATAATCATAATAACTTGATCTAATTTAAATTACGACAGATTCGTCTGATGATAAATACCCATTTTAGAAATACTTACTATTAAATACTTACTTATTGAGTCTTTAAAAAAGCTTAGTATAGTTTAATGAGGTTGTATTGGTACTTACATAAAGGAAGGAAAAGAATTGTAAGGCCATTCTCTTAAGTCAATTACTTGGTTACATAGAATGTTTTATTATTTAAATAATAAGCATGATTCGTCACTATTATGTTCTTTTAAATTATTATTTCTAGTGGTATGTAGTCGGTATTTCACTCATTCCATAAAAAAATAATTTACGTTAATTTTTATTACAAACTCTGTTTTAGGATCCTTGTTTTTGAATTATACATAGAAAATACAAGAAATTTTTGCTGTGTACTTTTGCTATATAATATTAACTTTAAATACATTGAGTAGTGATAACAGAGTTTCTCAGATCTGGGTCCCAGGGCACTCTGGGGTTGTTGCCAATGAAGCAGCAGATGAGGTAGCACGAGAGGGCAGCGCTAACACGTTTTGGGCAGAGCCTGCAATTGGTATATCATTTGCGATGGCCCAACATATTATTGGGCTGGGCTGAAGAGAGACGTCGCCTACTGTGGACCAGTTGTCCTGGAATGAGACACGCTAAGGTGTTTATTAACATCTCCACTGCCAACCCAGGCATTAAAGTTATAATGGGTCTCTTTACTGAGCACTGCCGATTGAAGACACCTCAACTTGTTGGTCCTACCCGACGATGTTGAATGCCAACTAAATGCGGAAGACGAGGTGACGGTAGAGCATCTTTTATGTCATCAGATTCTTGATTTTTCGGTCGCAGTTCATCTGTCCAAAGGATCTGAATACCGAACCTAATAATGTTATCTATCGGTGTACAATAAATCTTTTGAGGTTGCGGTGCAAGATTGGATAGTCCGCCTACCCGATATATAATTTATGTAATGTAATGTACTATTAACTTGATTTGTTTATTCTTAGGTTGGCAATGTATAAACTAGTGTAAAAGAGCCTTTTTACCATCCGAGGCTTACTTGTTAGATAACTACGTCGCGGAATGATAGCTTCGACTTTAATGTCGCAATAGAAGTTAATCAAATAGTTCCCAAATAAATATGCAACGCTTTACTATGAATTGCTTTGTACGCTGACGTTGTGATTTAGATGCAGTTCCATAAAGCTTGCAATTGAAGTCTATGTGAGAACCAATTTCATGCTGCAACTTCAAATTTGGTACAACTTAACATCGAAATTAATTTGTAAACCATGTAGCAGCGAAAGAGCTAATTTCAGTAGAAATCGAATGTAAAGAATGAGTTTCATGGCCATTCTTGCAATACACTCAATTCGGTTCAAAACTACATAAGCTACAAATACAACATACAGATACATGTTATCATATAAAATGTAATCAAAACTTGTGATAAAAATAATCTAAGGATTATCTAATCAGTTTGTAACAGAGATACAAGTCCAAAAACTAATCATTGTTGTTAATGCATTATTAGTTTGAAATCATCCAATTTGTCTCATTTATGGATAAGTGCAAAGGGAGTAAAAGAATGTTGATGTAAGGATCTCTTTGTCTGCCAATATCAAATAAAAAGATATTGATGCTCTCCACTAGGAAAGAACGCGTATCCAACATATCTATTGATTAGTGATTTTCTTTGCAGTTTAGAATTTGGCGAGTTCAATTTAAGACACTTCACAATTGCACCTTGTCAAATGATGTTTGCCAATTGCTCAGATCAGGTAAAATAAAAATATTAATATACCTTCAAACATTGTGTACTAATTGTAACATCAATAATCTTAGTTTCAAGTAAATAAGGACATTTATTTATGTATTATGTGAAACAACTAAATTCGTAAACTATGAATCAAGGTGTTATTTATAAAAGGAAACAACGATTAAAGCAGTACCACGTTACAATAAATCTGAGCGTTTGAACTTTAACGATCACAACAGGGTTATTCTTTACAGTACCATCGAACCGAGTAAAACAACAACCGATAAACAAACGCGTTGTCAAAAACATTTCCTTTCGGTTTGTTTCATTACTTATTATTTAATAAGTTAATACTGGTGTACATTGGTGCCAATTTTAGAACTGATATTGTATGAAAGGCTACAAGCACTATTTTTTTAAATTTAATTTTAAATATCTTACAGATTTGTGTAATACTAGATTGTTACTTATGAAATTGGTGTATAGAGGGTTCTGATATAAATCAATAAATCCTGTAATTTTATAATATTTGCTTGTGAAAGTAATATATAGGGGGGTTAACAATCCCTATATTAATACAAAAAATTGCTCGTTAGTTAAAGATTTCTGTAATTTAAAACCCGCTACTTTATAAATCGATTTATAGAGGACAACAAATATCCTGATTCTCGAAGGGAGTCTTGTATTGTAACAGCTATATTTGGATAATCCGATTTAAATAATGCGGGGAATTTAATAATGCATATTGTTTAATTTATAACATTGTTAATACATTTATATTTCAATTTATAATCATGATTATGCTGTAACGCTCTTAACTCAATACAGGATATTCAGAAAGATATAAATAATAATATCTATGGTGTAGAGGGGATGCCGAAGTATGTGTCAAAGATATGATTGTAAATATAGAGAATTTCTACAGAATCGAAGTCTTAGTTGATCGTATAGTACCGATACGCGCATTTTCTTGCGCAGCTTGGTTTCGCCATTTTGTAAGGATGATATGGATGGCCGCCAAAAATACAAACATATTTGTGTTCGAACACTGCAGTCAGAAAATCGTTTTATTTTTTTCCATAATATGTCTTTTATGTAGACTTTATTTGATGTTTAATTCGGAAATCATTTTGTTTAACTTTTCCGTAACAAGTTCAACATACAACTAGCTGTAAATGTTCATCAAAACCACATGAGCCACATCAAAGGGCTTCGACTCTTGTATTATACTGTTCTCTTACTGTGGTTAGCACAAAATTGTAATGAATGCGATAATCACAATAAAAAATGAAATTTGAAGGTTTGAATATTAAAAAATGATGATTTTAAAATTGAATAGTAGAGGACGAATGAATTACTTCTCTCAACCTTTGACCTATACGACCAAAAGCGTTATCCAGTACTAATAGACTTTTGAGTGGAAGTATATTGTTTATCATATAATCTTTTACTATAGGCTCTCCAAGCTCTCTTTGCTAAGTTTTTGTTTTAAATACCCATCCCTAGGGTTGGTAAAGTGATAAACAAACATAGGTTTTAATTTCATCATTCATAAGTTTATGACCTGGAAGGCGTCATGTAATATCTTATTAAAATCACTTTATATGATCACATATATGTACTTACATACATTAAACTAGTATTGTCACATCATTATTCTGCTAATTTCTATATTGACTTATCCTAAGATAACATAATTTACATCTAACACATATTTTTGATTGGATTAACAATCATGATTGATCATCTAATTAACTCCAACTTCCTTTGAGGGTACGTTTTAGTACGCACGGAAAGGACGAGTGGGTTTGATAAAATTGTGGAAATCGTAGTAATGTCGTCA